TTGAATTTTCTATAAACACTACACTTATCACTTCGTTTAGCTGACATTTGACCCAAGTCGGCGAGAAAAGTAAATCTTTTGGTGTTCGCTTTATACAAACATAATCAAGTGGTGCATTAATTTAGTTAATTTTAACAAATTGCTTTAATATTATTTGGTAATTTGATTTGTATTATGGCGGCGATAAAGTTTTATTAACCTTATGCGTTATACACATCATCGGGATTTAGATTATATTCACAAATTTGTTGAAAATACATACATAAACATATGTGCATATGTATGTATTTATGCAGGCATATAAGAAACTCCGTTTTCTAAAATCTGTCTATTAAATTAAAATGAATTGAAATCTCAACTTTAATTTCAAGTTAAATCGCTTATCGTATTCTCTCAAGTGTTATCGAAAATAATCGATAAGTTACTAAGTTGATTTTATGCTCCACTATAAATATGTTTGCTTTTTTATACATATGAAAATTTAGTTTATTTTTATTAAATAAGGCAAAATGATTTAAATATATAGGCCAGTGCAAAAACTTTTGAAAATGGCTAAAAGTGGAAAATGAGTTTTAGGTGTTGAACCGATTGACCCGGGTGATTTGACATTACAGTGAATTAGAGAGGGAAAAAATATGTATCGAAAGTAGAAATAGTCGCTAAAGCTCAACCAAAAATAGGTACGCCTACCGATATGTATGTATGTATGTACATAAAACCAAGCCAAAATAGAAAACAGTAAACTTTTCATGGTGAAATAAGTCGAATTTCCGGGAGACCTAAAATCTAGATTATATTTTTCCAAGGCTGTTCAATGTAAAAATTAAAGCGAAAAGTGAATGTAAAAAACCTGTATTCACATACTCTTAACCTCAATTTATTAAAAAGAAATTAATACAAGTAAAATTATTGGCTAAGAGGGATTTTTTTTTTTAATTTTCGTAAAAGTTTTGCCCACGTTTCGCCATTACTTACAAATACGCTACTTTAAGCCGGACGAAAATACATATGTACAAACGAATATGTACAAGTATATAGATACATACATATTATGCATATCACTGCATATTTATTGATGTACATACACATACATGTATGTATGTACATATATCCTTACTATACAAATATTAAGTACCACACAAATGTGCATCCTTGGCTTGCACTTAGCAACAGGACACTTAACATAGTACTTAGAATAGAAACAACAACAACCGAAAACATCAACGAACACGACAGCCACAGCATCTGCAACAATACCAAGAATTAAAGCAACAAAACAAAGATGCCTTTTATGGTGACTAAATCAAAATAAGTTGAAAACGTAAGTGCATGCATAAAAATAAGAGAATACTCTAAAAATATGATATAAACATACATACCTACAAATATCTGCAGTCAGAAAAATGCCGAAAATGTTGAAGAAACACGACAACAAAAATAAACTGAACTAAACCAGCCAGCAGCGCAACCAAATAAGAACACAGGTATATATACATAGATATGCAAGTATGTATAAGATATCCATCTATATATTGAAACAATAGCGACAAGCACGCTGCAGTGCCCGACTATGCAATTGTGCACAGCAACGGGACCTTTTATGAAGCATTGGCAGCACAAATAATGCTTAGCAATATAAAAACTATCCACCAAAAGCGCTACGGCAACAATAGCAACGACACTCGCTTTGCTTCGCTGCGTGTGTATATGTTTGTATATATACATATATATATATATGTGTGTACTTATTTGGTACCGTATTTACCGAGAGCCTGCCTGAATGTCTCAACATCTGCCTGATGATAGCGCGACTAACGTGCTGAGGGTTAATATCCTGTGTCGTGCAAGGATAATACGAATGACTACTACAATAACAACAAATCATTTAATACTATATAGGCAAGTATGTATACAGCACGGCACCAAGTGTAGATAAACTATTTATGATGCTGCTGCTGCCAGCTGAAAATAAGAAGTATCACTTCTGGAAAAAGTACTCTCAACAGTATTGATATGGATTTGTGTATGTATGCGTGTTGACAGGTCAAAGCGATGATGGCGAGTAAAGACGACTGCACTGGCAGAAATGTGAGTTATATTAACATTTTATTTGGGCATTGAGTGAGAAAAAACTAAAACAATGACGTTTAGCGATCAATTGAATGTTTTTTATACCGATAAGTTCAAAAATTTCTTCAATTTTGTATCACCCCTATTGCGAATGGCTACTGGACTACAGTTGTTGGTAACTTAACAGGATTTTTTTAGCGTATGGCTATTGAAGCCAGCATACTTTAACGCAGATAACAACCCTGAATAAAATGAAGCATAAAGAAATGGAAAACAACAGTATTCATTAGAATTTAAAATAGTTATTTTAGTAGAATTGAGTTAATTTCTACATTCGTGATTTCTGTGCGTTGAACCGGATTTCAAATTGATTAATATTGAAAAATTAAAAAAAAAATCAATCACAACTTTTACAGTCATAAATATTAATTTAATCAAATTAATGCAACAATAAACAATGTACATATGCACATTCTTCAAAAATATTTTACAACAAAAAAGTGTGTAAGTAAATATTACTTGAAAAACTCATAAAATATTGTGCGTTATATGTGCAATGATTTTTTTAAGATCAATTTTGGTAAATATATTATATATATAATATATTGTACAATATTTCAAACAAAATAATCAAAATGTACCATAAACGAAAAAATCATGAGAAAAACATGAACAAGTTTATTTGACATTTTAAATTAAAAATATTTTCGGAAGACACACTTTATATAATGGAATCATGGTTCGTGTTCAGTTACCACTCAAAGCACACAGTTTTATTGAAGAAAAATATACTTTTGCATCATAAAAAGGAAGCAAAACAGTGACATTATGAGCGAAATTGTTGACTTTTGACAAACTATGTTTTTCAGACAAACGACAAACCTTATATATCTATTATCAATTAATATATATATATCATATTAATGCGAAAAATTTCTGATGTTTTTAAAAATTGTCAATTAGGTAGCGGTGTATTTTATTAAAAAATATTAAGAAAGTTTTAACGGTCCTACTGATGAGATTGTGAGCTATTTGAATATAAATTTGTCTACACCAGTGTTGCCAGTTTGCTTTTTTAAGGTTTTATTTTCTACTCTTTTTTAATTCCTTAAAATTATAACCTTGCTGTCAACATAGCTCTTGTTATTCTTCCACTACGCTTTCGAAGAATTTAGAAAGGCGGATAAATACAAAAATGTTTGGGGTTTCAGCTCTTTTCTGGTAATTCTAGGATGAAAGGTAGGTATTAACAATTACTGAAAATTCAGATGATAGACTTCCACTTTAAACGAAATTTTTTTGATATATAAAAGTTGTAGTTCGAATTTGTTACGGTCAGTACATACATTGAGTTCAGCTCTTTTTTTCAAAACATTTACATGTGAAAACAATTAAATTGTAACTGGTTCAACAATCAAGAATATGTGAACAATTCATTAAGGTAGTGTAATGGCTGTTTTCTGTTTAGTAAATCGAAGACAGAGTATGTAGAGCAGAAATATTAATATGCGAAACCCATATAAATAAATTTGACCTTTTTTAGAAATTCAAATTATTTACCATGTACCACGGCAAATTGTTGCCGCTAAACAACAAAGGATCAGAGCAGTCACGCTATCCTACACTGCAAAATGTGGTAAATGAAAAATTGCAACACGTGGCAATACGCTAAACAGGGATGACTACTATGTGCCACCCATCATATTGTGCAGATTTTGACAGTTGCAATTTGACAGTTTCCCAACGAAACATGTGTGTATAAGCAGGACATGCGCATTTAATTACTTAATACATATGAATGTACCACTAAAAGCAAAAAAACGATTTGGCATACAATGCGAATATACCAAGAACAAATGAATTTTTTCAAATACAAAATTATAAATGAAAAATTACTGCGGAAGCGTATATGTTATATGCAAACGTTAGAGAATTGTTTGATCTTTATTAGGATAGAATTTTACTCCGTAAAGAACAACTATTTCTTGATTTTTGAGACTATGGAAGTGCACCGCACCCAAAAGATCCTAATTTTAAAGGCAGTTAGCAGTTTTTTCTCTGCAAATAGTCTGTCTAAATGCACACAAGTACACACCCTTTTCCGCACACAAGTGTTTATATGAATGTTTTATGTTCAAAACAAGGGGTTGGCGACGTATTTGGGGCGTTGTGGAACAACAAGGGTGCTGCTGCTGTGAAAACTCAACGCTTGCTGGCAGCCGCATGGAAAATTGGCGATAAAATGAAGCGAAAAATCGATAGTTGCGACTTCAGTGACGGAACTCCAACGCTGCATGTGAAAGCGTGTGATTAATAAGCATTTTTTCTTTGAGTTAACACTTGTTTTTGTTAAATATATTTATTAGGCTTTGCATTAAATTAATTGTGTACTTGTTTAGAACAATGGCGACGTAAAGGTCGGCAGTTAGACAAGCAACTCACCCCATCGTAAGGTAATAAAGGAGTTTTTCGGATATTGCTTAGCTATTTTCGTTAGTTTTCTGCGCTAGAACCCACCTTGATTTGCATATCTGCTGATTGCTGCGGCACACACTGCATGCAATGATCGCATATTTCATATAAAATTAGCACAAACTTTGCTAGTCGAAAAATGGGTTTTTGCAATGGGGCGCGGTATGCAGCAGCAAAGAGCCACTAATCCACGGGGGTGACTCTTTGCCAGCTACACACGCACAACGCCACACCACAGCATATTGCGCTGCATTCAAATATTCCCAATTTTTCTAATTAACTTTGCTTAGCTTGGCACATTTTATGATTTTTACACTATTTAACTGCATATTTACTGCACCTGGAAATTTTTTTTAAAATTATTTTAAAGCACAAAAACTTTTTTCCACACGAAAATCACTAAACTCTACTAATGAATTATATTCTTTAAATTTAATTTATGCAAAATAAACACAAACCAAATTAAACACCACAATTTAAATTTGTGGTTGTATATTTGTGTCGCACACACGCACACAATTCAACAAACGAACGCGTAGCGCCGGAACCGGTTTCGCTTGATTGCTATTTGTGTTCGTGGCTTCGGTGTTATTGTTCTTAGTTTTGTTGCTATTGTAGATACACCGACTGGGGGTTGTTGGTGTGGTTGTATGACTGATTCACACACACGCGCACACAATCTGACAAACACTCACAGACTCCCTAAATGTACGATGAAACGTGAACGACGCGTAACCTATTATCACGAACAAATCCAAACGCTAACTGAATTCATGGACTCGAGCAATATGCGCTCTAACCTGCCGTCGCCTGTAATAAAAGTGTAGTATTTTTACTGCTTTTACATGTACACACCAACACTATTCGGGGAAATTTCTTGCAACATGCGACAAACTCGAGTTGCGTTCATGCAAGTTCGCGCGTTCGATGAAGCTTTGGCTGAGAAACCCGAAATTTGGTCAAATTTAGCCTTTTTATAACCTTGATATGTACTAAAGTGTATGAAATTTGCAACATTAGCTTTTTGGAAGTGCTGCAAAGTTATGATTAGTGGCAATTTTTTTATCGGTAGAAAACATTCCCCAAATACCTAACATAAAGTTCTGTACATGGTTGCCCGCAATTTATTTTATATAAATTTATAAAAATTGTTTATTAAAAACACCTATGGAGAAATATTTCTACCAAAGCAATTTGATCGAAAATCGAGGCGAGCACTAAAGCTTGATATCTTTTTTTTATTACACCAGATTATATATAAATCCTCAGCCATTTCTGCAAATTTTCTCGGATCAGATCGTAAGTATTAAAAGTTTTTTGGAAAATTCTCTCACAAAAATAAGAAAAAACGTCAAATTGGGTTGCACCGAAGCTATAATACAAAGGCTCCTAACAAGAACTTGATTTCGATTGTTCAGTTTGTATGGCAGTTATATGTTATAGGGATTTGATCTGAAATTTTTTTCGGAGATTACATTGTTATCTTAGACATTAAATCATGCCTAATTTCGTGAAGATACCTCGTCAAATGAAAGTGCAAGCACCTTTCTCCAATTGTTCAGGTAATATGGCAGCTATATGCTACAGTCATCCGATCTAAGCAATTTCTTCGGAGGTTGTTGCCTTAGAAAATAATTCATGCCAAATGTCGTCAAATAAAAAAGTTTCCTATACAAGTACTTGATTCCGATTGTTCAGTTTGAACGGCAGCTATATGCTATAGTGGTCCGATATCGGCCATTCCGACAAATGAGCAGCTTCTTAGAGAGAAAAGGACAGGGGACTAGTTGTGTATATACAGGCAGACGGACAGACCGACGGACAAGGCTAAATCAACTCAGCTCAGCATGCTGATCATTTTATAGAGTCACCGACGTTTCCTTCAAGGTGTTACAAAATTCGTGACAAGCTTTATATACCCTGTTCAGGGTATAAAAATAAACACTAAACTTTTGTCTATTTAATAACTGTTTCAATAAATACTCGTAAAAATGTTATCAGCTGACATGATGGATGTTTTTAACAGTTATAGATTTAACATGCCAGTAAAAACTTGCTCTAGTAACAATTTTGGCATATTGAACCGATCCGTTATAAAAGTTATCTTGCCACTTTTGAAGTGTTGTCCACATCAAACACAAATATTTGCTTCGCGCCAACTGATCGAACAACGACAAGTGTGTTACACAAACAAAAAGTATTCTTAACACGACTCATACCGAATCTTTGTGCACAGGGAGGGGAAATAAGCTCGACACTTAGCGAGCTTGCGCAAAGCACCATATTTGTTTTGGGTAATTTTCCGCCGGCACTTTGAGAATTTTATTTGTTTAATTATTGGCGCTTTTGTTTTGATTACACAAATTTGTGGTGGCAGAAAGAGTAAACCAATGTTTGTGGTGTAAATCAAAATGCATAAAGTCACTCATGGAGTTATACAGAAATGTGTGTACATAATGTATGTATGTATGTATGTGCTTAATTACGATAAAAAATGATAAAATAACAAGTTGACAAGCAGAGTTCGAAATAAGATTTGTTTTTGTTGCATTTTTGGTGTGATTTTGTGATTTATTTTATTTATCTTGAAGGATGATAGCGAAATTATAGTGCTGCTTGTTAATAAAAAGACTGAAGCAACGAACCGCGAAAATTATTAGCAATTATTATTATTAAGATATCTTGATGAAACTTGGTACATATGTTCTTTAGCGCCGTAAGAAGCTTGGTATTGTATATGGCAATTGTATATAGAAATCAGACCACTGCCACACCCACAAAACACCATTCCTCGAAAACGTATAAAGCGTCATAACTAAGCCGTAAATTTAATGTATATATCTTCTAAATAATTAAAGCTATATCACCTAAATTTGCACAGCACAAATGTGAAACGTTATATAAACGTAAAACGTAACGTTCTTGTTTAAAACTACTAAAATTGCGATAAGTCAGTAACTAAATGCGTCAGAGACATTCAATTTTACATCCAGGATAGCGCAAGAGGGCTTAATAGCAGCCGGTGTGAAAATCGGACAATGGGCGTGGCACCGCCCGTTTTTAGGTGAAATCACATATCTCGGGACCTACTCGACGAATTTCAACCAAATTCGGTAAAAAAATTTCATTATAATGATATTCCTATTTTACAATGAAGAGATGTGCGAAATACAATAGGACTACAACCACGCATACATCTCATAGTATAACGCAATTTATATTTCATCTGATTCTTTCACTTACCAGTATATGAACTAAGCCACAAATAATATAACGGGTTAAGACATTCCACGAATAGTGCATTTGAATTGTGCCACCCTATGACCAAAAATTGCCTAAATCGAACCAAAGTGTTCAAGCCCCTAAGTACTGTGTGGACCCCAGTGCCTGTAGTTGACTTTTCGCCGAAAATATCGGTCAATGTATTATATACATATATAATTGAAATTCAGAGAGCATCCTTTCCTGGTAATGGTATGTTTATGTGTCAAAAATTGGTTGAATCGGGTCAATACTTCCCCCAGCCCCCCTATATGTACCTAATATAATATAAATATTTTCGAACTTCTGAGTGACTTTATACCGCATACATCGGCCAATATTTGAGTTAACTCAGTGAAAATGAGAGAGCGTGTTTTACTGATAAGGATGTATCTGTGTGCCTAAAATGGATAAAATCGAATAAAAACTTGTCCTGGCTCCAATATAACTAATATCAGGGTTTTCGAACGTCTGGCTAACTTTACTTCATATAGATTAATGATGGTATGTGAGGTACCTTAATGAAACCCAGGAAGCATTTTTATCAATATGTGGTATTGGCAAAAATAGATAAAATAAAACAACAGATATAATGATTTTCATTATTCCAACAACACAGGAGGGGAATCTGCAGTTTAAATTTTTTTAAGTGGGCGTGGTCCCGCCCCCTAATAGGTTTAATGTGCATATCTCCTAAACCGCTAAAGCTATAATAACTAAATTAACTGAAAACAAATGCATTAGCATTTCTATCGACAGTGTCAAAACAGGTGAAATCAGTGACAACCCCGCCCACTCCCCATATAACGGTACTGTTAAAAACTACTCAAAGCGCGATAAATCAAGCACTAAACACGCCAGAGACATTAAATTTTATCTCTGGAATGGTATGATATGACCTTATAGAAACCGCGTTCCAAATTAGACAGTGGGCGTGGCACTGCCCACTTTGAGGTGAAAACCCATATCTTGGGATCTGCTTAACCGATTTCAACCCAATTCGGTACATAACATTCTTCTCATTTCTATGTTATAGTGCGTAAATTGCCGAAATCGGATTACAAGCACGCCTACGTTTATAGTATGCCACTTTGTGACCAAACATTTTCTAAATCTGAATATGTAGACCCCAGTGCATATAGTTGACTTTTTACCGAAAATATCGGTCAATCTGTAAGATATATAATTGAAATTCATGTAATAAAATAAATAAATGAAACTCTCGATAATAGAAAAAGTCAAAAATGGGTTGAACCCGATCAATACTTCCTTTAATATAAAATTTTGCCAACACCTGAAGTAATTTCCCGGGCTTTGATCCTTGCAAGTTGCGAGAGTATAAAATGTTCGGTTACAACCGAACTTAGAACTTCCTTACTTGTTTTAATATAATTTTAGCTGACGCGAACTAAATTATAGCAATAAAACTAAGACCAAGTGTATGGCCTTCAAGTCAAGAAAGTACCAAATTTGATTGTAATTAAAACACGATTTCGTTGAATAATGAATGTTTAATTCTTTATCAACATTTCTAATATGAAGTTTTCCAGCACCTGAAAGAAGAATCCCAGGCTTTTTTCTTGCAAATTGTAAGAGTATAAAATGTATGGTTACACCCGAACTTACCGCTTCCTTACTTGTTCTATCTTTTGTTTATTCAGTATTATTTTATAACATTACACAAAATGAATTAAAAAAAAAAAAAACAAGAAAATGCGTTAACTTATAATATCCTTCATAGGTGTATTTTTAAAGGGGTATAAAAAGTGTTGTATCTTAATATCGGTCGGTCTGTTTGTGTGGCAGCTATATGCTGTAGTAGTCGGATCTGAACAATATGTTTGAAAATTGAAGCGTTACCTTGGACAATAATCTTTGCCAAATTGCGTGAAGATACCTTGTCAAATAAAAAAGTTTTCCATACAAGGACTTGAGTTTGATCGGCCAGTTTTATAGCAACTATACTATAGTTATCCAATCTGAATAATTTTTTCAGAGATTGTAAGTATGATTTCGATATAAACCTTTTCCAATTAAATATTTTTCATACAAGGACTAAAGTTTGATCGGTGAGTTTGTATGGCAGCTATCTAAACTCTAGTCCCTCAGTTTCGTATATAAAAACAGACAGACGGACATGGCTATATCGCTCGAACGCTGATAATTTTTATACATAAGTATATAGGGTATTATAGGGTCTCCGACATTTAATTTTAGGTTTACAAACATCGTGGCGAACTTTATCAACTCTCTTCATGGTATAATTACATATTTATGCGTTCTTAAAGTTTAGGGAAAAAAGGACGCTTACTCGTCGTTAAGATTTCTATTCTTGTTTTCTTTGGAAAAATAAAACAGCGACGGATTCTTGATAACTACAAATTTCATTATCGTATGAGTCCACAAAACAGAAAATTCATTAAAGGGCGACTTCTCAAAAATAAAGGTAGATTTTTTACTATTTTTTTACTTGCTTTAGTATTCATGCCAAATTTCAAGTAAATCGACTGACCTCGGTAAAATGTTATGACGGAATTTTTTTCAATAAAGCTTTCATGTAATGATTCATAAGCGATTCATTAGTAGTATCTAATGCAAGAGGCACATAATTGCAAAGGTCAATCGAAACATAGCGTCCGAAATTTAATTGTTATAGTTTGGTCATCATGACTAAATACCATCGTCACCTAAAAACCTCAATCTGAGTCGGTATAACTCGGGTGCAGCTTTCATGTGGTTCTATAAATTTGTCAAGTAGTGGTGATTGAAATTTAACCTGCTGCTACATATTCGGACTGGCTGGAGTAAATTGCCACTCATGCGCAATTGCGCTTTCGCACCATAAGGGGCGGTTGTACGGTATGCTTTCAGAATGCTGTTGTCTCTTTGAGCGTTAAGTGCGCCTGAAATTAGTACATGCTGTAGGGATTAAAGTCTTTTCACATAATTTTCGCGCTTCAGCGGTTTTTAAGGCATCGTTAAGTCTTTGATTATAGTGCCACTTTATGTTACATACGTCGGTATTCTGTTCGTTAGAAAGAAGTGAGGGTGCATGTGTTCGAAATGGAATTTCGTCAATAACAAAAGGTTGAGCTCCTAAACAAGAGCATTCCGAGCGCTTCATGTAATAATAACGAATAAATACAATAAAATAACGAAAATACAATAACGGAAGAAATAACTGCTCCACTCCCTATATGTTGCAGGTTTCCACAGTCCAGACAGTTATATCCATAGTTTGCAACTAACCCGATTATGGTTATATGCATGTGGCATGAAATCTTTTAAAGCATATTAGGAAGGTATTCTTATGGTTGGTTAAATTTGGACAGAAATGTTGAGATTATTAACTTTTATATTTTTGATTTATACATAAAGGAGGCAGCTTCAACTGCAAGAATATAATCGGTTTTATATCACGATTTGACTGTCATCTCGGCAGCAAAACTATCAGGAAAATATTTTCAGACAACAACAACGCACATATTAGTACTCACCATTGGTTCTGCGAAGTGTCGGTGGTCCCGATTTATATCCGTCTACTAAGCTAAACCCTCTAAAGCTATACGAGACATCTTTTCACACAAGGGAACAACAACACATAAATTCGTTTTAAGGCAACGGGCGCTAATTCTTGCAAGCGTTTATTGGTTCCAAAAATTCCCGGTGCAGAAGCTCGCATATCGATTAACTTTAACCTGCTCTATAATAAATTTACTTGTGCTGCATGACAGTCGACAATCGGTTCTATACATTCGGCACCAAAAATTTTGGAATAAAAATTTAACTAATAAAGATTTTCGGGATTACATAATAGAAAAAATATTATTCAAAAGTTAATTCAATTATTATTTAATGCACCTTTTACAACTCTGACCGAAACAAATTCGAATTGTTATCCGGTCAAGGACTGTCAAATCGGCAGTGTACTCCAAAAATATGTCAGGAATATTTTCTGCCGCTACAACAACAACATAAACTTACCAGTGACGATTTTCATACAAATTTCAAATATTAAATACTTTAATTTCTACATATTATTGCAATATTTATTTAACTTGTTAATATTTATGAATATTTCTTTATGTTTGTAATATAATATGGCGTTTAATTGAAATTTAATTTGTAAATATAGTTTTATTAATACAATCAATATTTTTTTATGGTAAAATAATTGGTGGTATGTGGTGGTACGACGAATATATAACTAAAATAGTTTCAGATAAGATTTGTGACTTTTAGAGCGAAATGCAATGATTAAATGTATATAAAAGTAAATCAAATGTCTTTTCATTTGTTTTCGAGGAAATTGTTAACGTAAAAATAATTATATTTATAAATTTCGGGGTATCAAAAATGTCTTTTACTATTTTTATCGCCATATACATATATTTCGAATACAACTTTTTTTAAGACATTTTAACTTTTTCTTTACATAAGTGTGAGTGTGTGTGCAATATAGACTACATTACATATACAAAGACCAGAAATTGCTTAAATGCCGTTAAGTGGGTTTGAGTATTACATCGTGATTTCTTGTCTCATGTTTCTTTTATTCACTTCGCTTCGTTTCGTTTTGCTGATTTGAGCAATATATAAATTTATAGTAATTAATACTTACCATAGTTGTCTTAAACGTAAGAAATTATATTAAATAAGCACATTATTAAGTTTTCGAACTTAAAATAGTTTTACTTAACATAATCGGAAGGTCTATGCTATAATGCTAGAGTTATGACACAATGCAGTTAACTTTTAAAGGTATGTGTACAAAATTGAGTCTTAAATTATTATTAAATTGTTACATAAAAATGTTTGTATATATGTATGTATGTACCTAATCTAGGGAGGAAAAATAGCTACCTTGGAATTAACTTTTTTTCTATAGAACCAACAATGTGTCAAAAAAATTAATTTTCATTGATTTATACAGTATCAAATACATATTTTTAGTTAATAATAAATGTGAGTATTGAGTTTAAGTCATCATTGTAAACAGCATTAAAAGTGCTTGCGCTATTTTCTTAGGGATGGTAATAAAATATGTAACGAAAAAATTTAAATTTTAACCAAAAATAAAATTAAAATAATGATGAATTTTCTTTCAATGTATTGTATTTAAAAAATCAGTATCACGAACATTTTAATCACAAAGTACTGCGAAAAAATGTATTACAAAATATAAATATTTTTCTGGAAAACTAAAGCATAATATAATATATAATATAATTCTAAAAAATAGCAAATGGTCTTAGAAAAATAAAAATGCCTACATTAAATAAAAGAAAATAAACAAACAAAATCAGTAGAAATACTTGTAGAAACATAATAATGTAATATAAATAATAAAAATTGAAATTATTTGACAAAAGAAAGTTAAAGAAAAAATTTGGTTGCGTTAAAAGAAAAAACAAGAAAAGCGTGAACTTCAACCGGACGAACGAAGATAGGGTATTATAGGTGCATTTTTAAAGCACATAAAGTATAAAAAGATCTTAGGCTTGGTTTTATCGATCAGTTGAATAGCAACTATATGATATGGTGGTTCGATCTCACCAATTTGTTCGGCGATCGTAGCGTTGCGTTGGGCATTAAGCCAGGCCAAATTTCGTGAAGATATCTTGTCAAATAAAAAAGTTTTCCAGGGACTTTAGTTTGAACGATCAGTTTCTATGGCAGTTATATCTTATATTCGTCTGTTATCGGCGGTCTCGACAAAGTGGGCGTATATCACACTGATCATTTACATATATACTCGTATATAATATGGCGTCGCCGATGTTTTTTCCGGATGTTTCAAACTTCATGTCAAACTTAATATACCCTGGTCAGAGTAAAATAAAATTAAAGTGAGAAATACAATCTCACTCTAGTCACATAATTTCAATTTTTATAATTGATGAAATATTATTCTGTTTCAATATAACATAAATCATAATTAAATATAATTTTCATTAAAAAATTAACAACAAAAATTATTTGGTTATAAATATTGATTAAGAAAAAAATAAAAAACCTAATTAATATTATACAGAAAACACTTTTTAATTAAACTAATAAGAAACAAGAAAATTTTCATATTTTATGCATAACAAATCTACACAAAAGGTTTAGGAGTTAAACATTTTCTGAAACGTGATTTATACACTAAAATTAGGTTGGTATTAAATTAATAATGTTAGGAAACAAATTAATTGTTGCAATAAAATAAAATAAAGAAAAACTAAAAACCATTTGAACAAAATATAAAACAGAGCAGGGAATAAAATAAAATAATATAAATAAATAAAAAAATAAGAGTTTAGAGTAAAACTATATTGTAAAAATATATAAGATATGAATATATAATAATATTGTAAATGTTATTCGTTAAACCTTATTTTGCTTAACTAACACAGTAAGAAAAAATTACTTTATAATATGTTTTAGAGCAAACACAAGCACATTTTAAATTCAAACTATTTTGAATATTTATGCATAAAAAGCACAGCTAATTTCTAAAAAAATATAGCAGCACGATTGTTACGAATATAATAGTAAGAATATGAAATATAAATTCATTTCGCAAAACGAAATCAATGACCTTGTCCTATCTCATTTTATTGAATGCATAATACTATTGGAAAAGTACCTGCAGTTATTCCCGCCTGTAGCACATATACTTTATACTACTATACGAATAGTACAAATATTTTAAACAAATAATTAAATAATTAACAAGTGCAAAAGCACCTGGCACATAGGAATATTTGCGTGATTTATTACGCGTTTGTGACAACCTAAAAGTTAATCCGATAGCTACCAAAAAAAACATAAAATTAACATGTGTTAAATACATGATCATGTTAAAATCGAAAGCTGTAGTAAATAATTGTTTCAAGTTTTTTTTTGAACTTCTTACCTGCTCTCTACTCAGCCCTATATATGTATATGTATGTATGTATTATTAAAATATAAAAGTAAATAACATACTTCAATGCTTACTAATTTTTGCGTGTAGCATCCTGTATTATAATCTTATTTTTCTGACGTGTCACTTTCGTGGCGGGAGGGGTTGATATTAAGCGTTTTAAGTTCTCTTGGGGTATGGCCGCCGCTAATTGATCTTTATCCTTCTTACGGCTACTGCTACCGCCGGTCTGCTCGTCAGCAGCACAGCCAGCCCCTGCGGCAGTTACCGATTGACCGGCGTAACGTGTGAGCACTTGAAATTTGGCAAATAATTTGTTCTTTGACTCGCGCTCCTTCTCTTTGAATTTTTCTAACGGCTTGTATTTAGCCAAAGCATCGGGTAGCGGACATATTTCCATTTCACCATGTTTAGGTGGCTTCAAAATTTTACCACTCACTGGTACGCTGGGCTTGTAAAATTCTAGCTCGAGATCAGAGTCGGAGTATGGCGATGTTGTGTTAATAGCGCCGCCAGCTGTGTGCAACTGTTGTTGATGGGCTAGCGCAAGGTGTGTAGGACGCAAGTAACGTTGTTGTTGTTGTTGCTGATGCTGCTGTTGTTGTGCATCACTGAAATTCAACGAACTAGCCGATGCCGAGGCAGATGTCTCTTCGGCGAGATGACGTAGCATTAATGTGAGTTTCATTTCATGTTGCCGCTGCAATAGCACAGCATTACGTTCACCCTCGAGACGCGCCTGCCGCACTGCATTCGAAAGCACACGTTCCTTCCACTCCCAAGCATCGCGTTCGCGTTCCAACTGCATTAACTGCACTTCCAGCTGACGCGAGGAGTCACGCAAATCGATAACCTTTATGAAATACTTATATAATAGCGTGCGCATTTCCTCCAGCGAGAGTTTATTAAGACGCGCCATCAACATCTGTTCGCCTTTCTCACGTTGCAAGCGTTCGCTTGTATCAATGGACTTGTGGCCGCAGATGAGTTCATTCTTGAATTCAATTGCTGCATCGATGGCTTCGATAGCCTCATCGCATTCGAGTAGCTTGCGCTCCTCGCGTTGTGACAGCACCTTGTCGCGCTTCAACTTACGATCGAGTGCGCAACGTTGTTCGAGTAGGTGATCACGTGTGCGTCGCAGATTGCGTATTTCATGTCGTAGACCTTCCTTTTCGCCAGTGCCTTCAGGATTGTCGCCATACTGTTCCAAATTCTCCGATTTCTCACGTAACACATGATCTAAATGCGAGATTCTTGCTTGCACCTCTTTCAGATTCTTGCCCCGTTCTGCATCTTCGGTTGCATTCGAGCTGCCGTCTATCTTGACAAGCGCTTTGCTGTTGGCGCTTAGCGTATTTTCTTTCTCTTTGAGCACTTTTAACTCGTGCTCTAACTGTTCGCGTTGCTTACGATCCTTTTTTAATTTCTTTTGTAGCTCGTCGATGACTTTTTTGGATTCATGTAGAGATTGTTGCAATTTCTTTACCTTTTGTCCACTTTCGCCAGCGATATGCTTCATTGAGGCGAGATCTTGCAGGCGCTGTTCTATATGTGCAATTAATGCACGCAACCGTTCGACCTCTGACTTATCCTTACCCTGCACTATTGCCTTAGCCAACTGTTTTTTAGCCTTTTCATACTCGGATTCAAGTTTGGATTTCTTCTTGTGGAAACGTTGTTTGGCTGTGGAGCGCGTGTCGCTATTTTTCACCAGTTCCGTTATAATGTTTTGTTTCAACTGCATTGTTTGTTCTACTTCTTCTATTTGCCGTTGACGCGCTTCGATATCAGTGACTAATTTGCGCAATTTCTTTTGTACATTTTCCAGTGGCGAATTAATTACAGCGCGTAACTGTGCTGCATTCTGCAGGTCACCTGAACTCTCAAGAAAGTCATCGGTTACTTTTGGTGCTGTCTGTTCACGCGACGCCACGCGATTAAGCATGGCGATCTCAGCGCTAGATAAACTGGCACCGGGCTGTATCGATCTGCGTCGACCTAATCGTTGCAAAAATAAAGCTACAAAACAAAATCGTTGCGAAAATAGTTCTTATTAACATACCTCCCATTGATGGCTTGCGTTCATCTAATTTATCAATCGTTTGACGTTGTTCGCTCAACACTAACTCTAGGCTCTGTGCTGACTCCTTCTGTCTTGTGCTCTCCTGACTTTCCATTACAGCTTTTGGTTGGTTTTGTATAAATTCTTTATATTTTTCGTGAATTAAAGTATCTGTTTTTATGCGTAGTTCCTCCATTAGCGTTTCTAATTTTTCCATCAAATCAGGTCGTTGCGATTCACAGTCCGATTCATTATCTGAATTCTGGTGAAATGAGGTTTCGGGATCGCTAACTGCCTCCTCAGGCTCTTCTGCTTCTTGTATGGGCCCTAGTTGCTTTTGTGAGCGTATCGCTTCAGCAGAGCTTAAACATTCCTCACATTCTTGCTTGAGGAAAAGCCACTCTTCAATTTGTTCTTTGTCCAACTCAGTCACAGCGTTTGAAGCAGCCAATCTGTTGATTAATTATTAATAGGTAGTTATAAATTGGTACTACAACTGTAATAATATTTTTTTAATATTTACTTTGAGAACAATCCTTCTGCATTGGATACCAATTTATACCACTGACTTGCTGCAAATTGTAATCCGAATGTATCTGCTCCCACCGGTATGCCACATCCACCGCCACCAGGCAAATCGGGCATAATCGCTTCTGGCGAGATGGGTGTGTTATCGTCAGAAAATGTATTCATAATAACATAATTTCTAACACATTGTACTTTGAAGGCAAATTGTAAATTGCAGATTGTTTCATTGCAATCTCGCTCTAGTGGCGAAACACACAAAATAAGTAAAGTTTGTGCGCGGCCACCAAAAGAATCTTTCAATAATGTTGTCAATGTGGTTTGATTATAAGGTATATTGCCATTAGAACCATACATGAGTGCTGGATCAGTAAGTGTGTTTACCACCCGCTCCAATGTTTGCAAACCCACATCCTTGGGTAAACTTGTGGTTTGATCTAACGCATTCAACATGAATACACGATCAGTGCCACATAAATCGGAGAAACTTGCTGTTGAAAGTCGATGTTGTATGAGACCTTCTTTTGAAACCCATTGTTGTTCGAGTGTAAGCGTAAAAAGTGTATGGCTTATAGATAAATCGTCGTTACTATTGTTGTTAGAAGACTGTTTGGCATTCATGCCAATTTGTAACCAATGAAAAACATCAGTAATGCTATTGCAATGAACATTGCCCACACCCAATAAATCATGAATTGCATCGTCCATTATTTCCACCCAACCGATATTTACAGCATAGGTACGTTCTAAAAGAAAAACTTATTTTATTCATATACATTGTTGTAACATTTCAAATTTTACCTGGATGGTTCGCCATATGGGAAAATATTTCGCGCACGCATCTTTGCACCACGCCCTGTTCGGACTCATTATATACACAATCGAAACCAGGTCCGTAAAGTGTGTATGTTTTACCAGTTCCTCTTTGTCCATATGTTACTACAGAAGCATCGAATCCTTCCATAAACAAACTAATCAACGGAAATACGGTCTGATGGTAAATTTGACTTTGTGTACAATCCATAGATAGAGCATGAGTCACGGGAAATGAATGCGGTCCTACTTGCATTAAGCCCGCGGCAATGCCGTGATCCATTTGTCCAGGCAAAGCAGTGGGTGCGGAATTCAGAAATCCCGGTGCAGTCATTGGAATGGCTTGCACGTAAATGTTGGCCTCACCTTTGGTTGGCTCATTTGGCAGGTTCATGGGACCATTATCTCCAGCATTTTCATTCGCATTAAAATTCCCATTGTCATCTTTTTGCGTTCTTATTTGCGAATGTTCATCAGCCCCTAAAATGGATTGCGTATCTACAACATTGCCAGCTGATAGTAGTGGTGCTGATATAGGTGTTGTTACAGCCGGTGGTAAGCACGGATAGATACGTACAGCTACTTGTATCGGAATTTCCATCATATTCGATGCTCTCATTAAACACTCAATTATGCCAAATTATTGTAATGTTGCTGGTGCATGTTTATTCACAAGTTATCTTGCTTTTATTTAACAATTCAATAATCTATAAGCAATTTTCACAACTAGACTACAATACAAATTTTCTGTTTTTCCAGTCTAAAATCAGTGTTGTATAGAATTTACTCATTTTGTGCAACAAGACAACACTAAATAATGGCACCAGTGCTCCCAAGTTGATCACTTATAGGGGCTTACAATGTAAACTTTATATACCATACAATTTTGTGCGCTTTGCTTGATAATTCATCCTTTGACATCGAAACGAATCAAACATAAGCCATGTTAAAAAAAAACGCTTAGCTTTCCCTGCCTGCTCTGGGTTTGATATTTTGTGTTTTGATATTTTCATCATAAGAGAATCGGAGCCACTCCCAACGAAAAATAAATAAATAAATAATAAGAATATCAATCGCTGCTCTAGTCAGCATAACCATATTTATAACAGTTGCCACGATCTTACTTCGCTTCGACTCGCAATCTTTTTATGGGGAAACTCATATATGGGTATATATGGGTGAGTTGATGTTATAAATTGAATTGAATTTTACCAATACGTTTAGTTGGAGAGATTTATCAACTCATAACTAAAATTCCGTGAAGTAATAACGGTGCAACTCTGCTTGTTTCGGTTATTTACAACCAACTTCGTTTTCTTTTATTTGCTACAAAAGTTGCATATTAAACGTTGAACGCGTGTTTTTCGCGTGCATTTTGAGTTCTAAAATCGTTTTTATACGTTTAATATTGTGTAAAATACTCAAAAACTTGTAATTTACCAACGTTTAAGGCACGTAGATCTGATTTAAAATGTCGAAAAGGCGCATAGAAGTCGGTGAAACTTATAATTCGAAGACGAAAAAGTAAGTGATCTGGAGGTACAGGCGTACAAATGTGAAATTCGCGCAATTTTAATATTTTTACATTTTCATTTAATATAAATTTATATATTTTTTACGTCAAAGGGATTATGATCCGTCCCCGACAGCGTTTAGTAATGCCTCTGCAGTTGCTCCCGTGACCGGTACCGTAGTTGGTGCCACGCGCCAGCCTGGCACTATAAATCCGTACAACATGAAGCCCTTTACACAACGCTATTTTAATCTTTACAAAAAACGAATTACGCTGCCAGTTTTTGAATATCAAGCTGACTTCATGCGTCTATTAAACGAACATCAATGCATAGTTTTAGTGGGCGAAACTGGTTCTGGTAAAACTACACAAATCCCACAGTGGTGCGTTGAATTTGCTCTGACAAAAGGTAAAAAAGGTGTCGCTTGTACACAACCACGTCGTGTGGCAGCAATGTCTGTGGCACAGCGTGTTTCGGAAGAAATGGACGTAGGACTTGGCGAAGAAGTGGGATATTCCATTCGTTTTGAGGATTGCTCATCTGCCAAAACCGTACTAAAATACATGACAGACGGTATGTTGTTGCGTGAAGCTATGTCGGATCCCATGTTGGAACAATATCAGGTTATATTGTTGGATGAGGCTCACGAACGTACATTGGCAACAGATATTTTAATGGGTGTATTGAAGGAAGTTATAAGGCAACGAAATGATTTGAAATTAGTAGTAATGTCCGCCACATTAGATGCAGGCAAATTTCAACAATATTTCGACAATGCACCTTTAATGAACGTACCGGGTCGTACACATCCGGTAGAAATTTTCTACACACCCGAACCCGAACGCGATTACTTAGAAGCAGCAATACGTACAGTAATACAAATACATATGTGTGAAGATATCGAAGGTAAATATATTAAACAATTGATATTTTCGAGCTAACATTGAATAAATTTCAGGTGATATATTGATGTTTTTAACTGGTCAAGAAGAAATCGAAGAAGCATGTAAGCGTATTAAACGTGAAACCGACAATTTGGGTTCAGATATTGGTGAACTTAAATGCATACCACTATACTCCACTTTGCCGCCAAATTTACAACAACGTATTTTTGAGCCGGCACCACCCCGCAATGCTAACGGGGCCATCGGACGTAAAGTTGTTGTATCCACCAACATTGCTGAGACATCGCTCACCATTGATGGTGTTGTTTTCGTGATTGATCCAGGCTTTGCGAAACAAAAAGTTTACAATCCACGTATACGTGTAGAGAGTTTACTTATTTCCGCTATTTCTAAAGCTTCGGCCCAACAACGTGCTGGTCGTGCTGGACGAACACGCCCAGGAAAATGCTTCCGATTATACACTGAAAAGGCTTATAAAAATGAAATGCAGGATAATACCTACCCTGAAATATTGCGTTCAAATTTAGGTAGACATTAAACATAAAAATTGAAAAAATTGATTTATTTGATGGCATTTTGGCTTCTAGGTACTGTCGTTTTACAATTGAAGAAGCTTGGTATTGATGATTTGGTGCACTTCGATTTCATGGATCCACCTGCACCAGAAACACTTATGCGTGCTCTGGAATTGCTTAATTACTTAGCTGCTTTGGATGATGATGGTAATCTTACCGATTTGGGTGCCGTCATGTCTGAATTTCCATTGGATCCACAGTTGGCAAAAATGTTAATAGCCAGCTGTCAACATAATTGCTCGAATGAGATACTATCGATAACGGCAATGCTGTCGGGTGAGAATGCGCGCATAAATACTAAATGCGTGCTTTATATTTTTATTTGTTATTATTTAAAACCAAACAGGTAGTTTATTTTTTGGTTTAGGGATGATTATTATATATTTTTTTTTAATTGACCAGTAGTAAAATGTAAAGCAGTTCAAAATTACACAATAATTTTGTAGCTTCCATCTTACCTATTGAGAATTGGACAGCCTTGAGTTGAAGCAAATTCAAAATACTAAAGCTATTGATATGTTTTCCTTAAGTTGCTTACTCATAATATCTTTTTATCACAATGAAACAAAACGGTTTTACTCTTAACTACTTGTTACTACTACTTTAGATTGGGTTTTAGTTCTTAATACAGAAAAATGAAATTGAAATTTTAGCGAAGCAGCAATTTTTTTTTTACTAAATTACTTATTTAAATATTTATTTTGACACACTTATAGACGAACGGACCGACAGTTTATTTTTCACTGATGCTAAGAACTTATTTTTAGTTAAAATGCAAAGGAAAAATTTTATCAATTCATTTGTCTTTTGCATTCACCACTGAAAACAGTTTCACGAGCGATAACACAACTTTAAACCAGTCTTCTCTTCAACACTACAAATAACTAGTATTTTTTCGAATTTCAAGTTCGAAATTTCGAAGTTAATGCTCGAAAATTCGAAGCTATGTTTAAAACATACCCAATAATCTAACTGATTAAAATTATGAACTTGCATATACAACTTTCTTTAAAAATTATATGCTGTGTACCAAAAATTGTTACGAAATTGCGAAAAGTCTAATTTGTTATAAAAATTCAATTTAAGCATTACTTAAAACTGTAATATAGTGAATTAATAGCTTTATATTTGAAATCAGTTTTAACGGTTTAAATAATGTGTGCGTATTGTGTGGATTTGAACAAAAAAAAAATCGCTCTTGAAACTCACGACAAAATTACTCAACCAAAACCCAATTTCATTTGCCAATTTAGGCATTGTCTTTAGTGGCCAATTACGTAATTTACTGAAAAATTGTTATAAAATCGAAGATTATCAGCAAAAGTTTGCAATAATTTTAAATTCCTAAAAAAAAAATTAAATGAAAGTTGAAGAATTTTGCTCGAAATTAAATACGAAAATTAGTAAAGCAAAATAGGACTCTCCTTCAATCATCAAATTTGCTGTGAAACATAACTCAACTGCGTTTGTGTGGGATTGTGCCGCGTTCAATGGATACCGTGACGCCGCCAACCCAAAACCAAACCACTTTTTCTCTCTCTTCCTTTCTACACTGTTACTATTATACTCTCGCCTGTACGTACAACGACAGTGCCACAATGCTTTGTGCGACCCAATGAGGCTAAGAAGGCTGCAGATGAGGCAAAGATGCGTTTCGCTCATATCGATGGTGATCACTTGACATTATTAAATGTTTACCATGCTTTTAAACAGAGTAAGTTTAAGTAATTTACATAATATTTTCTTTTACTAATAATACAATTCAATTGTGTTCCTTAGGTGGTGAAGACCCCAATTGGTCTTATGAGAATTTTATAAATTTCCGTTCATTGAAATCAGCCGATAATGTGCGTCAACAACTCGCACGTATAATGGATCGTTTCAATTTGAAACGTAGCAGCACCGACTTTACATCCAAAGACTATTATGTTAATATACGCAAAGCTTTAGTGCAAGGCTTTTTCATGCAGGTCGCTCATTTGGAGCGTACCGGTCACTATTTGACCATAAAAGACAATCAAAATGTGCAGTTGCATCCGTCTACATGTTTAGATCATAAACCCGATTGGGTAATCTATAATGAATTCGTATTGACGACGAAGAATTACATACGCACCGTTACAGATATTAAACGTAAGTTAAATTTTCCATATAGTTTCATGTACAAATTTTCTCAATTAAACCCATATACATTTTTCAAAACTCTTTTAGCGGAATGGCTACTTACTTTAGCACCACAGTACTACGAAATGACAAACTTTCCACAATGCGAAGCAAAAAGACAACTGGAAATGCTGCAGCAGCGAATCGAATCAAAGCAGTATCAAAAGGGATTTTAATTTAAACCCTGCTAAAATATGCCCATTACAATTCCGAAAGTTTTGCCTTTTCTTTCACTGTTATCTCTAAGTTACTTCAAGTATAATCAACAATTTGTTTGATTGCATACATAGTTTGAGAAATAAGTTTTTCGCAACAAAATTAATAGAATTTAGAACTGTTAAATAAAAATCTGCGTCCACAGTTCTTTAATAATTTTAACAACAACAATAAATGCGCATTTGATTGTTTTATCAAAGCGTAACAGTTTGTTAATATGCATATGAAATGCGCACTGAAATGTGTCACGTGATTTTGTAGTTTGCAAATTAAAAAGTATGAATAGCAAGAGCTTACATATTTACTTATAGCCATACATACACCCATATAAATTAAATGATACATGTAAAATATGGCTAATAATGCAATTTTCGACTACTATACATACATATATATCTAATATCGCAGAAACTATGTGTCATTTGATGAATTTTATCTGAATGAATTGCGTTGAGCAGTAGAAAGTATAAATACATATATGGATAAGGATAAAAATTGTGTGTCTTTTATTACAGAGATATTGGGTTGCAAATTATGCATTAAAAAATCGTTAAGTTAACATTTGAATTATACTTTTTTTTGGAATCCCGCAAATCTGTAAAAGTAAACAATTATTTTTAATCCCAAATACAGAATTGAATAATACCTAAAAAATATTGTAAGCGCATTAAAATTTTATTTTTAATTCCAAATACCGGATTGGAAAAAATGTAATCCCAAGCTTATAATTAAAATTGAAAACAAATTGTTTTAGAATTTACATCTCTTCCCGTTTGCCACTACGAGTTCCACCATTTTGAACTGGAGCAGTGGTCGGCAAACTTACACATTCAAACCAGAGAACTTAGAGCAAAGACTCTCTGCTCAAAAGATATATATATTATATTATCAATTTATAATCCAAGATATTTTGGATGTATAATAAACATTTCAATTTTTACTATTAAATTAACAAAAAATAAAATTTTCAATTTTTAATACCTATTTTGCGATTAAAAATTTAATTTTCAAATTCTGATTTTGGGATTAAAAATTAAAAATCTAATTTTTAAATAATTTAAAAAATTACAATCAAAATCTAAAAATCTAATTTTTAATTAATTTAAAATTAAAATCCTAATTTTTAATCTCAAAATTAGAATTAGAAATGGAAAATCTAATTTTTTATCCCAAAATCTAATTTTTAATATCAGAATTTAATTTATAATCCCAAAATCGGAATTAAAAACTGAAAATTTGTGTTAAAAATTGAAAATCTATATATTAATATAACATTTTTAGATTAAAAAATTCACAACTCTGCAATCGATTTTGAATTTGATTTATCATTCGTGAAATTATTCGATATTTACACTAAAAAACAAATTTTTATAAGTCATCTTAGTTTTTAAAACAATTTTTCTTTAAATAACATTACTTCTCAAATGTTTTAGCCATTGGTGTTTTGAAATTGTATGAGTATTACGAGATATGTGCAAATAGCCGAGCTGAACTGGAATTATAGAATAAAATGTTATAGATGAAGATATGTAAATATGTATGGTAAAAGGATAAATAAACTTATTTCACACTGTAATTTATGTAAGCAATGTAGTATAGTTTAGAACAAGCGAGATTTGTTTGAATTGTAATATTTGTTATACTGGTTTATCCTTTTATACACATACATATGACATTTATATATATATATACATATGTACGCACCGATGTTAGTAGCGTTCGGTTAACACGACAAAGACCACTCGCCGAAAATTCCACGTCCATCACAAGTAATTGTTGCCAAAACTTTTTTACCTGTGTTTGAATGAGCAAGCAAATTTGTTTAATATTGCGCAATAATTGTACAAGTGTAAATTAATTGCATGCATGCTATTTATTTGCTGTCAATTTATATCGCATGTGCATTTATGTGATTTACACCTACCTCCTCGGTCAATATTGGATCATGAATTTTACGTTCAATTTCACACACTATTTGTATAGTCTTTTTGGACTGAAAAGTTGAAAAAATTGTTTAATTCAGTTACACACATACTTAACTATGTACGAGTAATTATAAATATTTACTCACCTCTACGGTTGCCAAATGACATGGCTCAACGACTAATATTAAGCGCAGCGAATGAAAGATAATCCATAACCCTTGTATCCATACCATTCTGCTGTCCCTATTACGTAACAACTCCAAAAAAAGGAAATATGATGTGGCAACCAAGTGCAGCAGGCAGGAGACCAATATGAAGAGCACTGCTACGCCATGCGAACTGTAAAATATTGAAGGGTTTGAAGATTTAAGGAGATGGGGATATGAAAACTGTTACTACGCGTAATTATTCTTTTTAAATATATTACCTAATTTAATACTCACTTTGATACTAAGCGCATACATTTGCCTAAAGACTCGTGGTTTTCTTCAAGCACTTTTAGTAAGGCGACTTTATTTTTACCTGCATGTAAAAAGAAAATGTGTATGTTTTAGGTGATATTATAAAAAAACTTTCATTCATACATATTTTTGGCATTTTTTCCTTTTTATTGTGTGGACTATCTATGATAAAATTAGAGAGTTGACTTGAAATCATCGATTTCAAAATCCCCAAACTCAAAATCGCCAAAACACCTTCGAAACAACTTTTCGTATTGGCGGCGTTCAACGCGCTTTTAAAAAAATAACCCTGGCCGATATAACACCGTTATGTTCTCAGTTCTTTCGTTTAGAAATTTTTCTGGACTAATGGAAATGGGCCAACTGATTCTGCCAATACAGCTCGTTTTCTACATCGACCATTAGATGATCATAGTAAACTACAGTTTGTACCAATAAACAGGGTTTAGAAGACGCGTCATGAACAACGGCATTGTAGAAGACATGAATAGAAGTAGTTAGTGTTGGCGAGGGCTTTGCAGGATATATAGTATGTCAAGGTCTATTTTAGATTGGTAAGACGGCAACTCGAGCTCACGGTGTGGGATGGGTGCTGCGTCGCTCCAAGAACACCATTCCCTAGAAGGTAGTCAATTAGGTGTTAATAGATCCACTGTGTTTGTGTCCTAAATGACGTTGGCACAGTGCTGTTCCTCGCCGACGTATTGTAAGAAGGTTCTCTTGATATGCCTAAAACACGGTTCCGTTCCAAGCAGATGACTTCAAGGTGGTTTCTGCGAAAGCATCTCAGCAGAAACTACTGGAAGAGGAGTACGTTGTGATATTTAACATAAACAGAAATTCTGTAATTTTTCGGAAGCTGTGTTCTGACAGCCTAATATATGACTGGCCGGCTGATTGTCTTGTAAGTGGCAAGTAACGTTTCTTTGAATTTGATTGCGAAGATAGGAGTTCTCTTTCAAACGCTTGATACCAGTACCCGACATCAATATCGTGCTGTTATCACCGTATGAGGTGATGGAAATTCAGTCTGTTTAATTTATTTAATTATTAAATTGGATTGTTCAATATCTTCTAGTAGCGTTGTGTGATTGAATGTGACAAAAGCCTTTGACTAGTCCAACGCTACTGGAATCGTCCTCTCATAAGATTGTTTTTGAGTTTTTTGAGTTTATGGCGCTAAGTGCTGTACACTTTCCGGAAACCATTTTGGTGATGAGCTAAGCTCAGCTAATGAGGGAAAGTCAGGAGTAATAAGGCTTAAGTGTCATCACTACTAGGAAAAGGAGAGTTACCACTTTTCCGATTTTCCACAAATCAGTTATGCGATTAGTGGCCAGGGACAAGTTGAAAATATAGATGTGTTACTTTACTCCCATCGAGCCTAGTTGCTTTATCAGCAACAAGTTTATGCTGTCTGGGCCGCTGGATTTTGACGATTTAGTCAATTGACGTTTTGCGCAACCGTCGGGTAACACGTCTTTTATCCCTGTCTGATCATTTCTCCCCGGATTCGACAGGGGGTAGAATATTGTTGTTGTTATTATTTAGCCTTGCGAAGTACTGTTTTTATATAGATTGACTTAATAAAACTAAAATTTGTTGTTTTTGTTGTGTTGTGAAAGGAGGTGATTTAATGTGGTTTTTCCTCAATTGATTATATTGCGATTTAATTTAATCTGATATCTGATCGGAAATGATACAACATTTCATTTAATTAGCTTACTTAAAATTTACCTGACTCTTGAGTTGGAACATGGGTCAATTTTGACAGACTTTGGTGTAAAGCCAATGGATGCTGCGACACCACCTTCACAGTAGTGATCAATGGTTTTGATGGAACGTTCTTCTGGCTGTTATTATTATCTGTTCAAAAAAGAATTTTATATAAATTTGTGAATTTGTTTAATTCTACCAACCTTTTAGAAAATTACTTCTCAGCATCACATTCAGTCGCCGAAAGCGTCTGCCTAGACCAAAGGCGGTATTGGCAAAATTGATTTGCAAACCCGTTAATATGAAGTAAAGACTATAGAATGGTATGTACCATTGTATATTTAGCTCTGTAATTTCATAATTTAAAAAAAAAATTATAAAAAAAATCATTATATTTATGATTTAAAATTACCAGTGTCATCTGTGGGTGTCCTCATTTCAATGGCAAAACGTAGCCAGGTCGAGATGTCAAGTCCTACAAGTTTGTAAATAATATAAAACAATAAATTGCTAAATTAAAAAAACAAAAGATTCAAGTGTTAAAATACCTAAAATCGATGTGATTGAGATTAACGGCAATGTCAGCATTAATATCGCCAGTATGCGATCTCGTTTAAAGTTGGAAAATGAATGCATCGAATCATCGACCTACATACATACATATGTATATTTATACATAAAAAATAAGAATATTTATGCTAAATACATTAATTTTTTTCTACTTACCTTCCTCAGTCTCGTGTTGAGCTCTCGCGTTGCGCGATATCCCAACAAGCCACAACCGACTCCTGTCGAAGACGCCAATACCACAACCGAAACATCTAAGGCTGTGACCACTTTCGATGTGGCTGATTTCATTCTAAAAGATGGGCTATATTTGATAAATTTTCACATTTCAAGTAATGGTGCATTAGACGTAGCAGTTTTGTTGTTAGTAGTGAAAAGAAGTGGCGGAAAAAAGAGAAAGAAGAGTCAAAGGTTATGAGTACATATGCATCTACATAGTTAAAGTTGCAACTAGAAGTACATGATAGCGTTATGTTAAAGCCAGACATATTGGTTACAAAATGTACTACAATAAAAGCTCAAGAAACCATATACCACCATAGTGACACACATATTGTACTCTATGGGTTTGACACTCATCGGCTATTGCAAAAAACTCAAGTCAACTAAAAGAAAATAAATATAAAGCAGGAAAATCGATTCCATCTTAGCTATAGCAGCAAACAATATCAGATATTATATAAGAAAGAAAAATAAATATTTCAGACTAGCATTACAGGCATTAAAAATGAGCAAACTCAGATTGCCTTAAAGAAAAACCAGTTTTAAATTTTTCTCAATTTTCACGTTTATTTTGAATTTAAATGTTTTTGATAAATGTCAAAATAAAGTACATTACACAACATCGCATAAGTTCAATGGTTTCTTGAAATCCATTGTAGTACAGCAAGCTATTTGCTTGACACACATATGGTTTCTCTGGCTTTAATAGAATAGATGCATTTAAAAGATCTAGTGAAAAGAAATCCATTATTTTTGCATTACATTGTAGGTTTTGACCCTATTTGGGTCAAATATGTACCGTTTTGCCTCTTAACTCTTTACCATTTTGAAGATAATTTCATAATGCCACTCATAGAAACCCTCGTCCCTATTGGCAAAAATTGGGATAGTCGATTTTCACAAGCTTCTCTTGAGGCGAATTTTTCACCAGCAAAATCACTCGCCATAGGCACGAACAGGTAGTAATCACTTGGTGTCAGGTTCAGTAAATGCATAAGAACCAATCAATCAAGCTTCTGGAGCATCTGGCGCGTCACTATCGTTGTGTGCGGCCTGACGTTGTCCTTATGGAAGTCAATTCCTCTCCTATTGGGTGATTGCTTCCTTCAGACGGTCCAATTGTTCGCATTACAGATCCAAATTAATAATTAGGTCGTTTAGGAGCAGCGTATAGTAGACGATTCCTTGCCAATCCCAACAATTCCTTCCTGACCGACAAACCTGGCTTGGCTATCGCTGGCGCCGGAGTTAAAAAACTCCACCTTACGGCAGAAACTCGTTGGGACCTTGATGGAATTTTAAAATATATGAGCTAACTTGAGTGCGTTTTGATTGCCTCCATATGGTTTAATATCCCGCAGCCAATCAATGAAAGAAACTTGGTTCTTCAAGAGATCAATGCCACCATCGACGCTGAAGTTAGAAATATAGCAAGCGTTCTTGTGAATTTGCAATTTCTACGCGACCAGTGGAAAGCGATTTAAAATGAATGCAAAATTGCTGCAGAGAATTTAGAGCATGTCATTCAAAAAAATCGTTCTCATTTCTATGGCAGTTTCATGATATGAAAGAAGACGTAGCTGCAAAAAATTTTGCAAAACAGTATTCCGTTCATGTATCTGATAAGTTGTCCAATGAAACTATTCACCTCAGACACGTTTACGATGCAAATTTTGAAATTTGTCTTACTCCATACAACTTATGGAATCATCAATGATCGAATATTAGGAAGAGTTTTTCCCAAATATAATATTTGCATCGCATTTCGAATATTTGGCATTTTACCTGTTTCTGTTTCAAGTGGTGAATGTTTGTTTAGTGCTTTAGCTAGGATCAAAAATGTAGTGGATCATGCGCGTCACAGGGCAATATTTCAGGGTTATACTCTGCCTTGAGGCAGAATTAACCAAGAAGATGGATTTCCAGACTATTATCGATGCATTCGCTGCCGCCAAAGCTCGAAAAGCTCACTTCTAAGTTGATAATCATATTTCAAACGAACCGTTTTTTTTTTTATAATAAAATATAAATGAATAAATGTTTGAATAAGATGTTTCTGTCTTCTTATTGACTGTCAAGTCTTGCTATCCCTATATTTATATATTCCGGAATAATCTGAAAAAATATTTTGACTGAAAGTTTATTTATTTATACATTATTGATTTTCAAGACGTACAAAACAAATATGTTCTACCCAATATCAACAAGAAAGCAAATTCAATACTATTGTGATGATAGCATAAAACACTATGTCATAATTGGCTTATTCTTTTAAAACATTGAAATACTAAGTGGGAAGATAGTTAATAAAATCTATAAATTACTACCAACATTCCTGTAGGGAGAAGGCCACACATTTTTACCCCTGAGCTCGGTTTTTCTCTCGGCGGCCCTGCCAATTTTTAAACATTGAGGTACTTTGTCCGAAAAACACTATTGAAGTATTTTTATTAAAGAGTTATTGCTTAGGCTCGCCTTGCCTAAAAAAGACGCATCATTTATTTCAAGAGTATCGGCCATTGTACAGTTGTAAGATTTCAAAGTGAAAAAATATGAACAATATGTAAGAACCCACGTCAGTCGGGTCTAAGAAACTAGAACGGACCTAAATTTTTATCCGGCCAAGGACTGTCAACTCGGCAGCATACCTTAAAACTATGAGGCGATTGTTTTCTGCCGATAAGATAGCCACTAACGAAATGTGGTTGTTATTGTATATTTAAATCTAACAAAAAACCTAAAAGGCTAATTAATGAACTATTTAAAAATGATATTGGTGAAAAACAATCGAATGCTTAAGAAATAGTGGTTAGAAGATAATGACTAGCCTGATCAATACATGTACGCTGCTGGTCATACATATATTATATTAAAAGTACACATTATTTCTTCAATAAATTGTTCTATTTGCAAACCAAGCAAGTTTAGTTAGCCAAATTTTCTTAAAAAAGTGCGAATCTTTTTCGAAAAAACTGCTTATAGCAGGTTGGCTAGCGAAAATATAACTGTACGTTCGAAGACTCTTGGGAGTTCAAAGTAATCACAAAATCAAAAAATTAAATTAATAACAGCTCCTGCACTGTCAATATATTTCTAAAAGGTTCACAAGCATATAGGAACAACTTTAAGAAGCACACCGGGTAAACAAATTTCAAAACAAAAAAATTATTTTAGTTTTAGGTTTACTTTTTAAAAATTACTTACTAAAGTTTAAAATTAATAAGGGCGATATAACTCGCTAAAAAACACGTCAGCTACATACAATTTTACAGCTAAAATAGAAGTTAAGAGTTTCAAAGGAAGCGGTATAAAAATTGGGCGATGGCCTTAGCACCGCTCCCTTTTAGGTGAAATCCAATATCTCAAGAATGACGCGACCAATTTCAACCAAATACCGAACATAATATTATTCCTAATTTCAGTTTACAGTACACAAATCAAACACCAATGAATATATCGCGATAAAACTTCGCTCAAATACCTTTAAGCTATGCCAACTGAAATCCACAAATTGTCAAAATCGAACCAAAATGGGAAATATTAATCAATCTGTGAGATATATTATTGAAATTGGAAGATAATATTTTTCTGATAATAATGTACTCTGAAATATTTAATTTTGGTGGAACAAAAATCAGATCAGTTTTGAGCAGAATTCGAACACTTTCTTTTTCGAATTCCATTTGTTAAATTTGAATGTGTTTAACAATTGTATTTTTTTTTTTTTTGCCTTTTTTAACAATAGCTTCCCGAGCAGAACGTAAAATTGTCAGAATTGCTTCCAATTCTACTATTACTACAAGTATATACTATTCGGCAGATTATATCAGGGAGTTAGAAAGTTAACTGTTGACTATACAATTTAAGAAGAAACCACCTCTGAATGCTTACCCAAAGAAAAACGGATTCAATTTGCGAAAGAGTACATGACTTGCAGTAGTATTCAAACTTACACAGTTTTACATTATTATTATATGGTCTCTTCGGGCCAATCCCATGGAATTTTGAACCAAATAATGCTCCGATTCTTGCCGTTGGAGTAGTTAATTTATTTATTTGTTGTCGAAACGCTAATGACTTAGCCATCTTATTCTCCGGATCTTAACTCTCTCTTTCTCATTCAATGAAAAATCGGATACACCATTTTTTTTTAAAACAGAGGAAATAATACGCATTACTGAGAATGTATACTTTTAAGTTAAATATTAAAACTCACTAAAAATAATTGTTAAAAATAAGTTAATAAGATTTTGTTTTAAAAAATGAATCTTAAATATTTTAATAGTTAAATTAAAATAAAAGTGGTTAACTGAATATTAGTTCAACTATGGCGTATCTAACTTATTGACGACGAGTGTATATAAGTGTTTGAAATGAAAGTTTTTTTTAATTAAAGGACACCATACATAATTTTTACGGACAGAAAAAAGCAGATGTTTTTCTTTAAGTTAAAGTACGAAAGTATTAAACTACGACAATGATAAGTTAACAAAGACCAAGCTTCTACAATACTTTCTACAACTTAATAAGATTTAGCGGTTAAAAACAAATTATTAAACTACAAGGTATATTTAAAATATATGCAATACTTAAGTACAATTAAACTTACCGCACGGGCATCTGCGAATTTGCATCGAACAAAAGTCCCTCATAGGTCAAAAAGACTAGAAAATTCGTCACAATAAAATTTCAAAAAACTTCCACATTCAATGACGAAAATTTACCCATTAGCAAGCATAGTGAGGCGGAATAAACCGAGAAAATGACGCTGCGTCGAATATCCAACACACCCTTCGAGTTACGCCGTACCGAAAATGGCGCTAGTGCCAAAGCTTTGCTCACATAGTAAACGCACATTGTCGGCTCGGTGATTTCCATAATTAGATTAAAAACTCTTTCTTTTTGAAAATTTTATTTTATTTATTTGAAACACTTTAACTTTTGTTGAGAACACAACACAATTTATACAACCAGTTATTTTAATCGGTTATTTTCGGAGAAATATATAATTTGTAGTTCTTCAACTAAGTCTCACTTCCGCACGTTTAGCCTTGCTGTATCGCACTGATTGAGTTTCCGTATGTTGAGGTGGTGAATTTCGTGTCGCTGGCAATTTCCAACTACACTCGTAGTGACAATTTGTTAAAAAAAAACAATATATTTTACACTCCGGTAAATATTTGTTCGCCTATAAGCATATACTTATATACATTTGTCATTAATATGCTCATGTAATGTTGAATGTGTACCCCTATTTTTATTAACGTGTGGGCTTTTATTGTATGTATATCCTGCATAAATATTTTACATCAACTCGGAGGACAGCGGCGCACTAACTAAATTTTTAAATAGGAGACCTTACAAATAATTTTAAATTTTAGTTTTTTTTTTTTAAGGATACCATTTGACTGGTTCGTATATGGATGGATAATCTAAAATTTTGTCTACAAAGTATTGCAGCGATAATTTCGATCTGAAACACGTGGAACTCTTGCTGGAGCGTTGAATTAATTGAGTCAATTTGACCTTACTCACAGAACCAATAGATTTTTTAACTTCTACTGATATCCTTTTGCTTACTTTGTGTAAAATTCCACTTCAATCAGGCCTCCTAAACCTAAACCCAACTAAAAGGAAATAAAAACAAGGAAAAACGTCATCTTCGGCTATACCGAAGCTATAATACCGTTCACAGGTACGTTTAATGTAGGATAAAAGCGTATATAAAGAAATGTAACCTCAGTTAACGGTGTTTATATGACAGCTATATGCTGTAGTGGTACGACAACGGTGGTTCCGACAAATGAGCAGAAGATTTAAAGATTTCTGTGACGGTTCCGAAAGGACGCTGTATTAACATACCTTACTCACTAACAATTTTCGTAATTACTAAGATTTGAAGACTTCCGTCTATTTGGAAGACTTAATCTTACTTTGGAACCCGCTTTGTAGGTGACCTTGGAACAAAGAATGCTGTAGTAAGACTCTTTTATTGAGACTCTCACATTATCTTTTTTAATAAGTGCCATATAAGCTGCTTAAACATAGACGGAGTTGGTTTGACAATTTTTCTAAGAATCTCTTTTGACTTTTAGGACTTTAAACTCTGCTATCAATATGAACCAACCAAACCAAGTAACCGATGAGTAAAGATTTTTCTTTATTTCAGTAAATTTCGTTAAATTTAGATTGTTTTTAAGGACAAAAAATTAATAATCCAATATTTTTTTTTTATATAGACTTGAACTCATATAATAAGAAGGCGTACACACTAAAACATTTGTTAAGTCGAACATCTACTAAAATCTGCTCTAAAATAATTATGTTTCTTCCTTCTAGGCGAAAATGCGCTAACTAATTACTGTTATCAATTTTTGTTATTTTTATTCTAAGTAAAGTTATGTCCCCTTTTTATTATAAAATTCCTTTGATTTCCACCTGGCATTCAACAGTTTGCGTTCACCTGGCCGTAAACACTTCTAAATGCTGTTTACACTTTTATCGTTTAAATTGTAAATAATCATTAGAGTTCGTGACAGTAAAGCATGGTATGAAATCTGTTTCAAGCTAATTATATGCATAATTAAATTGTCAAACGGTTGGCTATAAAATAGCTCTGCCAACATTACGGTTATAAAATTATATTTGTATGCGCTACGAACACCACCAATAGATGGGCTGTCAAATTGAAAATTGAATGAATTTAAATTGCATTTAGGCAGTGAAGAAACCGTTAAATGCGAACAAATGGCTGCAGGTAGCATCATCGAAGTATAATGTATAGCAACACTATGCATGGGTGTGCCTGTGTGTTGAAGTATGCAAGTATGCCAATAAGTGAAAGTAAACAACAGTAGCAGGGGTACTCCAGCTACTATAGCATATATTTAGGCGAAGCAATTTTTTATTAGTCATTGTTTGTGTACAATGGAAGTATAAATAAGTTTATAGGCAGTTGATTTTGCTGTTTGCATGTAGCAGGGATAATGGGATGCCCAACTCTTTCCAGTGTGAGAGCGCCTCAAAATTAGCGTTTTTTATAACATTATCCATTGTAGCCAGATCGGACA